CCCTGAATCCAACCTTTGGGCAGAGCGGTCCTAGAGGAGGATCCGCCCCGAGCTGACCTCTTCCCTTTCCCCGCCGCCGCCGCCTTCTTCGCGCGCTCCAGAGCGGAGGTCTTGCTCTTCGTCATCGTCGTCGGCGAAGTCTCGCACGGGCCTGCTGCGCTGGGGCGGGAACGGAGGTGGCGAAAGGACTTGCGAAGTGAGAGAGGCGGAAGAAAGGAGGAGAAGAGAGCGCACTGCTTGGAAAACCCGAGCCGGCGATTTATAAGGGACCGCTTCCGAGTGGCTGACTGGTAGGCCCAGGCTATCCAGTCAAATCCCGCAGCAGACGCGCGCGCAGTACGTGGCGAAAAAGGCGACGCGGGGATCGAGGAGCTTCCGCTTTATCGCTTCCGATTACTGCGGCTGCTCCCGCCCCGCGCGCTTCCCAAAATCCGAATCCTGCGACATCCACGGGCCACAGAACAACTTGTCAAAACAGAAGACCCCGATCGCGCCGGCGCTCAGTACGTCACAAGCAAAGAAATTCACTCGACGAAAGGCCTGGAATGGATCAAGGCGACTGAAAAAGGTTGGCAACGTCATCCGTGACGATTGACCCAAAAACGAGGCGCTCACGTAGCCCGAAGAATCAGTCGGAAAGACCTCCAACTCTTTCCCCACTCTAACCTCGATCCATTCGGGGGCTAATGATGAAGCTATGTACCTAGGGTAGGGGCACGGACATGTCCAAAGGAGCCCTACCCTAGGACATCCCTAGGATAAGTCGCCTTTCAATCGACTTGAAGGTATCCCACTCAACAGATTCAAGACACTCGACCTGCAGGCTATCACTCGACCATGGCGGGTTAGGCATTCACTCCATAGTCTTAAAGATCATTTATATCACTTCAATGCTGGCATTACCAGTAACATCCCCTCTTTATGTACATTGAACTCTATGTAACGGGGGATGGCTAGGGTCCTAGCGCACTCTATATAAGCCACCTGATGAAGCTACGTACCTAGGGTAGGGGCACGGACCTGTCCAAAGAGCCCTACCCAAGGACGTCCCCAGAGGAAGTCACCTTTCAATCGACTTGAAGGTATCCCACTCGACGGATTCAAGACACTCGATCAAGAAGCTATCACTCGACCATGAAGCAAACCACTCGACCGCCAGGAGACCTGTAGTCACTCCGCAGGCAAACGGTCAGTTGTTAAGTAGTCTTTATGGTCATTATAGCACTTTATTAGGGGCGTTACCAGTAACGCCCGACCTTAAATGTACCTTAAACCCTGCATTACTGAGGGCAGGAAGGGGCCGGCGAACTCTATATAAGCCACCCCCCCCCCTCCTCAGTATGAAGGGTTCGCACCCTGTCAATTCACACGCCAGTAATCCAGTCGACCGCCTCCGGGCACCGAGACGTAGGGTTGTTACTTCCTCCGCGAAGGGCCTGAACTCGTACATCTTGGTGTGTTTACAACTTCCCAATAGCTGAGATCTAGCCTCTCCATACATACCCCCCTACATGGGTGTATGTTCTTGGTTTAGTTCGCCCAGTGGAGGAGGTGGCCTTCCCACTCGTGCAGAGAGCGGTGGCCGAAGC